GCACCTCTGCTCACCACTGTCACCAACGGGTGGAGAGTGCTCCCATCTCTGCAGCACTGCCGTCCCCCAGTGCCGTCCCCCCACCCGCCATTCTGCCCCCTGCTGTCCCGCTCCCCACCGTCCTCCCGTCCGTGGAACGGACAAGGATAGGGTACTGATGAGCAGCCCTGCTCACTATTTGAGGCCCTCCCACGAGAGCCGTGAGAGGTGCCACGTGTCTCAGACTAGCCACGTCACAGCCTCAGGGTGCACGCTCCCTCTTGGAGACGGCGCTGTGTGTTCACTCCTGGGGCTGACCTTGGGCCCCACCGAGCCCTGACGTGAGTGGGAGGAGCTCAGGGAGGGTGGCTAGCCCTGACGTCTGTCTCGGCTCGGTCTGTGGGTCTTAGAGGGATGGCTGGTACATAGACGTGCTCTAAGACGCCCACATTTGTCAGGAAGCCCTCAGCAGCGAGACCCGGAGTGCAGCCTCTCTGTCTCACGTGCGGTTTCTCCCATCCTCAGGCACCAGCCCATACCTGACCTTCCACTGCGTGAACCAGGGGACAGTCCTGCTGGACCTCGCCCCAGAAGACAAGGAGTACCAGTCGGTTGAGGAGGAGGTAATGCCTGCCACGCGGTGTCACTTTCTGTCCCCAGCTCACATGGTCAACCTTCCAGGAGAGGTGGGCCCGTCTCGCCTTGCCTTGCCTTGCCCTCAGGACTGCCTGTGGCTCTGTCTGCCCCGGCCGTCATGGTGGGCAGGTGCCCACCTGGTAGGACTCTGGGTGGTCCCACACCAGCTCCTGCTTCGAGGGTTTGCTTTTGTGTAGGTCCCAGGACAGAGCTGTCTGTCCTGGAGACTGTCACGTGCCCAGGCGACAGCTCCAGCAGAGAGTTGCCTGTGGCCGGCCGGCGTCTGCAGACACCGTTCTTGTGCAAGTCCTGTCTGTGTCCACATCCTGGAGCCCCTCGACCCCTGAGCCCGCCCCCGTCCCTCGCTCCCCGCCCACCCTTGTCCCTGCAAGCAGGCGGTGGCCTACACTCTGGCTAGCGGCGCAGGAGCAGGAGCCTGCACTGGGCTCACGTTCTGTTTTAGTTGGTGCTTGTGCCACTCCCGTCTCCCAGGACGGGGCCTCAGCCCACACTGAGCAGCTTGTCAGGAGAGACCTCCTTCCTCCAGTGTCTCGTGGCCTCACAGTCTCCGTGCAGTCCTTACGTTCTGATGAGTGTCATGGGTGTGGTGACCCTCGCGCTTGGGCTGTGGAGGGAGAGGGCATCATGTTGGCCAGCAGGTGGTGTGGCCAAGGCGCAGGATCACACATGACCAGCTACACGGTTCAAGTCCTCAACCCGGCAGCATGAAAACACACCAGGCACGTGTGGGTGCGGGGCCACACTCTTGAGAGGAGAACGGAGGAGGGAGTACGGCATGGCCGTCCCCCGGGTGCTTCCTACCTTCCCCCTCTCTGTGACAAATAATGTGCAGGCGCAGGATCACACATGACCAGCTACACGGTTCAAGTCCTCAACCCGGCAGCATGAAAACACACCAGGCACGTGTGGGTGCGGGGCCACACTCTTGAGAGGAGAACGGAGGAGGGAGTACGGCATGGCCGTCCCCCGGGTGCTTCCTACCTTCCCCCTCTCTGTGACAAATAATGTGCCCTCTGGCAAAGTTTAAAAAAAAAAAAAAAAAGGAATGCGCTCTGTGAGAGACTCCGTCCTGAGCGTGTGGGCAGAGGTCGGGGGGTTGCTGCATCCAGCCTTCCCTGACGCCCGGCTCCCATGGTCCACGTGGAAGAATGTGGAGACCCCAAGTTGTAGACGGCAGAGAACGCACCCCATCCCGTGGAGAGTGGAGGCTTTCAGACGCCGTCCAGCACTCGTCCCCGGGGTGGTAACTGGGTATGAGGGTCTCGTTTGGCCTGAGGACACAGCAAGGCCGCTCTGCCTCAGGGACGCGAAGTGGGAGCGAGAATGTAGGTGATTGAACCTGCGGGTCTGTCTCCTTATTGTGTTCACAGAAAAACTTCTCAAAGCTTTTACTAAACAATAAATAGAAAGTGCAGATTTTTGTTTACGTGTGTGATTTCCTCTCCAGACATACTTGTTGACCACTTAGCAGTGCAGTCCTAGTAACCGGCCAGTGCCGAGCCTTAGGCCCGCAGCGGAGCGGCGCGGTGGAAGGGCAGCCTGGAGGAACGGCTCGCATGCGGGCGTTTTCCTCATGCCAGCCGCCCTGTGTCCTGTCCATAGATGCAGAGCACCATCCGGGAGCACCGCGACGGCGGCAGTGCAGGCGGCGTCTTCAGCAGATACAACGTCATCCGCGTACGTTCGGAGATTCATGCAGCTTGCCTGACCCTACCTGGAGGAGGAGGTGGTTTTCCCAAAGGCTCACTCAGAGCTGTTGGAGATGGCCAGGCACTGTGCCCAAGGCAGAGGTCCCTGCCCTGCGGGGCGGTCCCTGCCCTCTATAGCCCCAGATAGTGGCCCTCAAAGCTGCCTGCCACACAGCGGTGGGCCTGGGTGGGCAACGGCCACTGGGCGTGGCCTCCTAGCCCGTTCTCAGGGTTGTACCGTCGCCACCAGTAACTGGGCGTGTCGCTCAACAGGCACTCGGGGTCCCATCTGATAAGCAGGGGTTGTACGAGGACACAGGTAGCCCTCGGTCTCAGTCTCGGTTCATAGTTTAGAATAGGTCATACAGGGACCAGCAGTGCACGGTGTTTACATTGCTGGGCTCCCACGAAGTCGAGCAAGGTTCGAGTCCCAGACTCGGCAGCTCGATACTCAAGCCGGGTTCGCGTTCATGCACATCCAAGATACCAAGAGGAGAGTGGAGAAGGGTTAGGACGGAGCCATCCCCCTGGGGTGGTTTCTCACTTGCTGTCTCTCTGGTGAGTGCATGCGCCCTACAGCCAAAAAACAAAAACAAAAAACTTCCACATAATAAAGAAACAGATACAGACCCCCATCTCCTAAGGCTCACCTGGGGAGGAGGCTAGAATCAGCCTTTGGTTGGTTTGACTCCTGAGGGGTGTGGAGGTCGCAGGTCTGGGACAAAGTAGCAGAGCCGTACCTGGGATTGCACCACCAAGAGCAGGGTACCAGCTGAATTTCTGACCCGAGCGCTGATTAAACACTGTCTTAAATCAGAAGTTGGGCCTTCCTACAGGAAACACAGTCTTCATTTTAAGCCATCAGCATCACTTGACTGAGAGTCCCCTCTTCGATCCTTTCAGATTCAGAAGGTGGTCAACAAGAAGCTGCGGGAGCGGTTCTGCCACCGGCAGAAGGAGGTGTCGGAGGAGAACCACAACCACCACAATGAGCGCATGCTGTTCCACGGTGAGAGCGGCCCCCACCGCCGTGCCCAGGGCCGGGCAGCTTGTGCTGTCTGAGAGACGCAGACGTAGGAGGCTAGCACCCCGGTACCCCTTCCCACCACCACCCACTCGACCCGAGGAGCCAGGCCACGGGCACTTATGCACTTGGCATGCTCAGGGTCCCCGACTCAAGTCCGGGCACCCCCAGGAGGGCCCAGGCTGGATCTCTGATGGACAGTGGTGGCTGCGTGGCTCACGGTCTGGAGGCTGGGAGGCCGCAGTGTGGCGACAGCTCCCGCACGGGCTCTCCTCCGTGCCTAGTGCAGTGACTGAGCAGGTGAGCGAGCCCAGTGCCTCGTCATTCTGTCCCCTCTCCGCACTGTCACCTGGGCAGTGATGTCTCCAACACGTGAGCCCGAGGGGCCGCCTTCACACCATGGCCAGGGCTGTGTTAAAGTGGCTCGTTGTGAGACCAGCAGATGGTGTACTGACTACATCACTGGACTCCATAGGTGACTGCAGTCCGAGTCCCGGACCCAGTGGCTTAAAACTCATGCCAGTCGCATGTGCATGGATGGCCAAGATCCTGAGAAGAAAATGGAGGAGAAGGGACTGTGGCATGGCCATAGTCTCTGGCAAGTGCACGCACCCAATAGCAAAAAATTCTTTCTAAAAGAAAAAAAGGCTTGTTTGTTTTGTTTTGAAGTAAGTGTTACTGACTATTTAATGTGGTATCCCAAGGCACGTACGATGAAAATGCTGCAACTGAGGTGGTTCTAGCCCTCAGACTGTCATGCTCACTGAAGCGCGGTCGCGCGTACACCCACATGGGTGTTGTCTGCGGGGCCACGTGGCGCACTGCTGCCTGAGAGCCCTGCCCCTCACCTGTGCTTGGAGACAGCAGGTCCCTGACGTGGCCGGGGGATGCCGCGAGGCTTACGTACGGCCAACTGTCAGGAGAGCCAGTGTTCCCCGCAGTCCTGCTCCTCAGCAGTGGCTGAGAGCCGGCGCCTGGCCTAACCTCCCGCCCTCGCCCCCCAGGCTCTCCTTTCATCAACGCCATCATCCACAAGGGCTTCGACGAGCGCCACGCGTACATCGGAGGGATGTTCGGCGCTGGGATTTATTTTGCAGAGAACTCCTCGAAAAGCAACCAGTACGTGTACGGGATCGGCGGAGGGACGGGCTGCCCTGCGCACAAGGACCGGTCATGCTACGTGTGCCACAGGTGAGCGCCGCACGGGCATAGGCAGAGCATGTGCCTCCCCGGTCTGCGCCAGCCCTCAGGCCTCTGTCCAGGCCCTGAGCCAGGCGACCCGGGGAGCTGCCCCTGCGTGGTGGGAGCGCTACAGGCCAGGAGGAGCCAGGCCCTCCCTGGACCGCCCTGTCCGCGCTCCCGCCAGAACGAGAAGATCGAGAATGGCTCCTGTGAGCCCACAGCCTGTCCTCGTCCCCAGGGGATGAGACCCAGCCCTGCCCTCGGGCTCTCAGCTCTGATGCTGCAGTGACGGTTGCTGTACACTCCCTAACAGTCTAACCTGGAAAAGAACTCAGGAACAGACAGCAACCAAACACATGTCTGCTCTGTGAGTAGGACTTTTAAACTCAGGAGTGGGTGAGGCAGTCCTGCGGCTAGAGCACGAGGCAGACAGCGCTCTTGGCCAAGGCCACCCAGGAGGCCCCTCCTGGACTCATGGTTCAGCCACGGGGCAGGCAGTGGTGCCGTCGGCGACGCTGAGGCAGAGGGTCGTGAGCTCATGGCTAGCCTGACAGCACAGGCCTGTCAGAGACAGGAGCCAGTGTTGTAGCCATGTGAGTGTCCCCGCCAAGAGAAGACCGCATAGCCTTAGAGCCCACCGTAGTCAGGCCTCTGCAGTCCTGAGTGAATGCCACTAAGCTGCAAGGGAAGCTCACTCACATGGCTGGGACAGACTTCTCAGGGCCCGTATGCAGGGCTGGCTGCTTTGGCTTCAAACCTAACTCCTGTGGGGACGCGGTGACCCTAAACGAGCAGTAGGAGTGAGCCTGTCGGGTCGGCGGAAAGCTGTGATGTCGTTGTCTATGCAGATGTGTCACAGCTGTTCTGACAACCTGACAGACGAGGACTGACAACCTCCTCGGAGTGAGGCCGTCGGTCTGCGTCCTGGCCGGTTCCTAGGGACAAAGCCTGGAGCTTTATAAAGTGTGTGGCTCGTGGCTTAGGAGTGCAGGGCCCAGGGCATGGCTCGTGGGTTAGGAGTCCCTCCCATAGCTGCATGGACTCCGGCCAGGCCGCGGCACTCAGGGATGCAAGCCAGTGTGTCTTCTCTTCCTGCCTGTCTCTGGCCCTGGTCCCTCGGTCTTGGGTACTCTTCACACGAGGCACCATGAGGCAGGCCTGCACCAGTCCCACGTGCCCTCCACCGTGTGCCGGGGGTGACCGAGCAGGGCTGGCCTTCTCCTGCCTCAGCAGCACAGGAGAGCCCTAGGCAGGAAGCAGGAAGCAGGCAGCCAGTAGCCAGGACAGGCCTTGAGAGCCACGGTCGCCCTGACAGGTGGGCCCTGACTAGACCGCCCCTCCGTTGTGAGTCCCTTCCTCTGGGATCACAGGAGGACAGTGAACCAGGCCGGCATCCCCAGGAGGCTGGCGGTATGCGGCCACAAACATCGCCTGGCAGTGCCCAGGTAGACCCGGCCCACACGTATAACTAACTTGGAGACATGCGTCTGACTGGGCATACGCAGAGGCTGCTTTTTGTCTCTGTGGCCAGACCACCCGGTGCCAGCTGCATCAGTTCCCAGGCCACAAGCTGCTGAAGTGCTTGCAGCTTGTGTCAGAGCAGGCAGAGGCCCGGCAGCGCGTGGTTCCAGCTTCCAGCCCACCGCGATTCCCATGTCGCGGTCACCCATTCTGCTCTTGGGGTGCAGGTGGCTGTGGTACGTGTGAGTGACGCGCATCTGTCCCGGTGGTACGTGTGAGTGACGTGCATCTGTCCGGTGGTACGTGTGAGTGACGCGCATCTGTTCTGTGGTACGTGTGAGTGACGCGCATCTGTCCTGGTACGACCGAGATCTCGCACACAGGGGGGGCAGGTCAGTGGCCGGTGCCACACTGACCCCAGGTTATGTGGCTCACGTTGCCGCCGTCGGGCCTCCGCAGCCTCTTGGACGTGAGGGTCTGCACCCGTGTCACGCCCAGTGCCCGCGCCCCATCTCCATAGGGTATGTGCTTCGTCCAGGGCCCACGTGGCCATCACTCACCTCGTTCAGCTCCCCCTTTGCCCGCAGTGGGAGTAACCACAGCTTCCTTCCCACTCACCACCCATGGCAGGACCTGCCTTCCCCGGTGTTCCTCCTGCTGTCAGGGCGACGGCACGCAGGTATTCTCGGTGCGCGACATCTCCCCACACCGGAACTGCCCAGACTCGGAGTGTGACTGTCGGGCCGGGTAACGTTAGGGCACATGTCCTACAGCCACCCGCCCTACTCGTAAATCCAGATGTGCTGTTTACTTCGTCCACCTTTGTGTCAAATATTTTCTTTAAACGTATGTCAGTAAACCCAACCATTACATCATTCTGAGTTAAGCGTCCTTCAAAGCATTGCTTCTCTTTTCTCTCTAGACAAATGCTTTTCTGCAGAGTGACCCTCGGAAAGTCCTTCCTGCAGTTCAGCACCATGAAAATGGCTCATGCTCCCCCCGGACACCACTCAGTCATCGGGCGACCGAGTGTGAACGGGCTAGCCTACGCCGAGTATGTCATCTACAGAGGGGAGCAGGTATGCTACCATGACAGGGCGGGGAGGCCCGTGAGCTGTGAGAAATCCCTGTCACGAAACAGCCGTCCAGAGTTGGACGGGAATTGCTCAGACGCACAGCGAAGAGTCAGCTGCGAGTTGCACGTGGGGCCAATAGTGGCAGACGGCCACACAGCACAGCATGAGCAGAGGGCAGCCTGGGCTCGCTGCTCTCAGGGCCTGCCCTGCTGAGTCGGTGCTTGCTGTAGCTGGCAGCCGAGAGCGGCCACCTGGTGCATCCCCTTGGTCCCCCCACGTCTGGCCATAGACCAGGGCACTCACGTGAGCTGCTGCACTCAGTCCTGCCGACCCCTCGAGACTCTAAACATACATGCAGGGACCAGCAGGTGGCGTAATGGCTATGTCGCCGGACTCCCATGTAGTTTACCACAGTTTGAGTCCCCGACCCAGAGGCTTAAACTCACGCCAGGCGTGTGTGCCCAAGATCCTGAGAGGAGAATTGAGGAGAAGGGATTGTGGCGTCACCATCTCCCGGGGGGATGATTTCTCACTTTCTCTCTTTCTCTCTCTGTCTTTCTGGTGAGTGCATGCGCCCTATAGCAAAAACCTCTCCCCCCAAAAAAGAAAATACACATATGTATGAATGTACATGTGTGTATATATACACATACACACATACATACACATATGGGAGTGACACAGAGAGACGTACACAACTGGTCCTGGCTTACGATGGTTGGCAAACCCATTTTTTTACCTTTTCGATGGGTTTATTTTGAAGCATTAGACGTGTTTCGACTTAGATATTTTTGACTTGCATGAGGTTCTGGCATGTGACCCCACGCTAAGCTGAGGACCATCTGTGGTCGTGGAAAACTCCAGAGCCAACCCTGGCTCAGCGAAGGCAGCTGGACCCCGTGTGGCCGGCACGGTCAGCCCAGCCTGGTGGGTCGTACAGCACTCCGTGCCCTGAATTGCCCTCTGGCAAATCACAAAAGGAAGAAGAAAAAGAAGAACGCTTTCTGTAGTTCCCAACTGAGGGTTAGTGATCTGAACGCTACGTGTCTACCTGTCTGGAAACAAAAACTAGTGTTTCTGAAGATGTTTGACTTTCAAGGGAATTCCACGACTACAGTGAAGAAGGGGAAAGACAAAGAGGGACATAACTAGTGACAGGACACCCACCAAGACAGTCCTGTGCGGTGGGATGGGGTGCAGTCAGGACCTGCCATCCCGACGGCCAGCAGTGAGACTCCGAGGCCTGTGGGTGATGGAGCAGGTGGTGGACGGTGGGGCTGCGGGGCTCAGGGCAGATGAAGGGGTGTGCTGGTGGGGGGTCAGCCACCATCAGGGGTGGCCTGAAACGTGTTGGTGTGAACTGCGGGTCCTGATAGACGTGTGTGCACCTGTGTGGAGAAGGGAAGTCACGGTCCCCGCTATTCCCATTCTCTCTCGGCGTGGTCCTGGCCCCAGGAGTGCAGGTTTTCTGGTCACTTCCACAGCAGGTACCAGCTGGGCACCCTCTGGCTCAGCTCAGATCCGACGCTGCCCCGAGGGCACGCTGCACCCTGCAGTGTAGGGCTGGACCTCTAGACTGCCTCCCAGCGGTACTGTGGCAGCCATGTGGTTTACCCTCTCCTCTCCGGGTGACTGGCTCATTCAGCCGTCCTGCGGTGGGGCTCCCTGCTGTGCCGGGGCTCTCAGGGCCAGGGCAGTACTTCTACTGGGTGGTGCCCAGGCGGGGCAGAGGGCCCGTCCTTCTCAGCTCAACCGGGGCCGCCGTGTGCTGCTTTCTGAGCCCAGTCCTTCTGTGTTTCCATGAGGCTTCTTGATGTCGGGTGGTCACTGCACTGCCACCTGCCCTCAGCCTCCCAGAGCTGGCTGGGGGGACACATCCCATGCCTTGGTCTCACTGGTGACCAGCCCAAGCCTGAGGCCGTCTAGGAGCCCTCTGAAGTCTCAGAGAGCTCTGCAACAAACACTCCTGTTTATTTGGAAGCTGGAGAAAAGTCAGCCATAAATTTCCTTCTCACCCACGGTGAGAGAGAGAGAGTGAGCGTGTGAGTAAGTCCAGGACACGGAGAGGATGGGCCAGGGTCCTGGTCTCACCCGTCCCACCCAGAGGAGCAGCTAATCCCAGGACTGGAGCAGGGCAGGTGGAGGGGCCCTCAGAAGGGTGTGGCCCAGCTGGGATGGCTCCATCGGGCACGAGGTGAGCTCAGGTACAGAGGCAGTGCCCCGGGAGGGGCAGGCTCACTCCCGCCCAGAAGCCACAGTGAGGTGGAAAGCTGCCATGCGGCCGTTCTCCAGGTAGAATGGCAAGTGTAGAAAAACAGTGACTGTGTGTTGAAGAAAAGTTACAAGAACGAAGAGACAGAATAGTGAGGTGCCCACAGCGGGGGAGGCCACAGCACTTCGGAGCTGACATTCTCTGCTCTTCCTCTCCAGGCCTACCCAGAGTACCTCATCACCTACCAGATCATGAAGCCGGAAGCCCCTTCACAGCCTGCAGCAGCCGCAGAGCAGAAGACCTAGTGACTGCTGGGGTGGCCTGGGCAGACTGGCCTGGGCCTGGACTGTGGGCCGTTGCCAGTGGGACCCATGCCCGTCGCTCCCCGGCCGGCAGCTGGGCAGGAGCTGCCAGTCTGTAGGCCACGACAGGGCAGTGAGAGGCCCCGTAGGGTGGCACAGGCTCTGCGGCTGCTGCTCCCCAAGAAGCGTCTTGGCGGCCTTCCCACCGGCTCGGCTTGTTTTCTCGCCGTTGTCCCTCAAGCACGGTCGCTTGCCCTTGACTTGGAGATAAGAAGGGAGACCTAGCCAGCACCGTCCCAATGTCCACACGCGCGGCGCCTCACCCAGCTGTGCAAGCACTCGCGTGCAGGTCCTCTGCCCTCAGCTCCTCCCATGCGTGCGTCGCTGGTGCTTTCTCTGTTGCTTTGGAAACGAGCCAGAGCCCCTCATGGGGGCCCTGTGTGACGTCACTGCGTGGCCATGAGCGGTGCGGCCCAGGCTTCCCACCTTCCACTCTGACTCTCACTCACTACTCTGTACCGAGTCTTTCCTATCATGTCTTCCCACTGAGGCCTGGGCTGCTATCAGGAAACTTACAGGGATCTGCCCATGGGGCCTGTGTTCCTGCCTTGGGCAGAGCTGGCCCAGGATGAGGTAAGGAAGAGGGGAAGATGCGAACACATACCCCTGACCTCACACCCTTGAGTGCTGTAAGTTCATACAAATGACTGTAAATTAACAAAGAGCACCTAAGGAGATACAACGTGGGCCCCTGGAGAATAGACACAAATTTTTGGCTCTCAGATAATCACAGTCAATATTTTTATTTTTGTTGTGGACTGGGCCCTGTTGTAAGACTTTTCTTTTTTTCTTTCTTTCTTTCTTTTTTTTAAAAGAGATTTTTACACCTGTGCTTGCCAGAGAGATAGAAAGAGACAGAGAAACAAAAAGCAGAAATCACACCCCATGGGGATGACCACTCTACAATCCCTTCTCCTCCATTCTCCTCTTGGGATTTTGAGCATGCATGCACGCATGCCCGGTGTGTTTTAAGCCATGTGTCTGGGACTTAAACCGTGGTTGACTACATGTGAGTCCAGCAATGTAACCATTAAACCTTCTGCTGCTGGTTTCCTTCAGAATGATGAGAAAATAAATGTCTATTGTTTAAGCCCCTCAGTCTGTGGTATTTTATTGTGGCAGTCTGAGCTGACTAATAAAAGTATCTTGAAATCTTTTTGAAGCACTAAGACCAACATGTAGCAAGCAGGACTCCCACGTAGTCAACCACGGTTTGCGTCCCAGACCAGGTGGCTTAAAAACTCATGCTGGGCGCGTGTGCGTGCGTGCGTGCCCAAGATCCCAAGAGGAGAATGGAGCAGGAATTAAAATGGAAGGGCAAAGGGTCATGCTTCCGTTTCCTGTTATGAGCTGGCCTGTTGCACAGGACAAGGCACAGATGTCACCCTGCCTGAGGAGCTCCCTGGCAGAGGCCTCAGGTCAGTGCCGAGCGTAGGAGGGGTCCATGGCCGTGCCCACATCAGCGCTGTGCTGTGCGTCCTTGAGGAGCACCAGCCACATCTGCCATGGCCGGAGGGGTCCACGCTCGGCCCACTCCACTCCGGACTGCCCCCCAAAGTTAGATGCCTTATTTCCAAAGTCAGTGCAGTTACTGCGTTTCATTCAAGTCCAGAAATCTCACTTTGTTGTTGCTTTGGTTTAGAAAACTAGGGTTCAAATCCCGTTTATTAGATAAATTTACAGAAATGCAAACACTGTTGCCTACTCCATATTTGGAGGTTATTTTGAGTGGCTTGCTTCAGATAGTTTATAAAGACCCCTGCACCAAATTTATGAACCGTTGATTGTTCAAACTTCTAAAACACCTTGACAAGGAGAACAAAATTGAAACCAAAGCCATCATAGTCGTTTTTCAATGGAAGCAGTAGAGAAATAGCACACTGTTTTCCTCGTGGGGCCTCAGCTCGTTTCTGTCACCGTTTGCCCCGTGCACAATGACATGTGACACAGATGGCCTGCTCTCCGCCCTGCCTAGACGCCGAGGGAGCACGACCCCTGACCTGGCACGCCGTGTGCCTGCTCAGCTGACGCAGGCCTGAGCAATGTGCGAGGAGAGGAGGGTGGCGACAGGCACTCGGCCTCTCAACCTGAAGCCCTGAGAACTCGCCCGGACTTGTGAAATGCAGGCTGACAAGACTGGCCACCTCTGATCTGAAGTGAAATAAAGTAACTACCCACAAAACCCTGGGGTAGGCTCTCGGCATACGTGTCCTGCTTCCCTCTGGCTCGAGCGCGGTGCTAGAACTAGGTGTCCTGGCTCGTTGGGACTTCGTAGCTGCGTCCTGCGTGGACCCTGAAACGGCTAAGCCGAGAATCAGCCTCAGTTGCACGTCTGGCGTTTGTGCGGTCTGAGCTGGGCCTTCGTGTCTTGGCTACTTGTTTAATAGCGCTAGGATTCCACGTGCAGCTCCAAGAGCAGGCCTCCTCTCCTTCAATTCTCCTCGGGAGGGACGCAACAGGGAAGGGTTGCCATCATGCAGTCAGGAGCTCGGAAGTGTGCACCGCCTGCCCCTGCTCAGCTGTGGTGCTGGGTACGTAGACGAGCTGGCCTGGGAGAGAGGTGGGGCGCTTCATCAAGAGGAGACACGCCGACGTGGCCGTGGGAGCCAGATGACGATGTGCCGGTCTTAAACCTGGGCTCTCCACTGAGACATGCCCTGTGCCTCTCTCGGGGTATGAGTGCGCTGCTCCTGCCTGCGGGAGTGGGCTGATGGGCGTCTCGGGAGCCGCGTGCATCTTTCCAGACCAGCATTTCCATCAAGAGTGGTGCAGAGAATCGGCGTATGAGCAGGGCACTACGTTAGGCGGAAGTGAGTTCAGTTTCCTAGACGTGCTCCATAAAGAAACGCTGCAGTCTGGCCTCCCTGCAGTGGCTGCTGTTTTCCAAACTGTGGAAGAGGCTACCAGGACGGCTGCACCGGCTTTGTCGGAGCTCGAAGCTCTGAAGTAAGAGGCTCCTTCAGGCTGATGGAGCTGGTGTACCTGGCATGGCCCACTGCACACCTCAGGCAGCCAGCAGCTGTGTCCTGGTGAGACAGGCCCTGTGCTAGGCCTCCCCTCTGCGGGCCGCCAGACAGGAGTGAGACAGCTCTGCCGCTACCTCTGACCCCACTCGCCCCTCCTTGGTCCTAGATCTTAGAAGAGGAGGCAGAGCCCCTGTCGCCTGTCACATGGGGAGGGGGCGTACCCTGTGCTCTGACCGTGGCTCCCTGGTGAATAGCTGAGTGCGGCAGCCAGGCTGTAATTCTGAGCAGAGGATAGTGCAGCCAGGGTTCTCCGCACTGTCTACTGGGGCTTGGCGTTTCTAGCTTCTGAGCCCCTAAGTGAGCATCAGGGTGCATTTGAGAAATGGTATCCTTTGCCCCCTGGAGCTCGACGGCAGGGACTGGACTTGCTTCCCTTCGCTCCAGAAAGAGCAGAGTGTGCAGTCCACAGAGACGCCGGCCCTCGGGTTGGCTGGGTGTCCACCCCATGGCAGCTGTCACACGAAGGCACTCAAGGGTGGCCTGGGGATGGCGTCAGTACAGGCGTGTGGGTCAGTTCCCCTAGCACCCGGGGCTGTGGGGCATGCGCCCTCTTTGTTAAACCCAGGCGCCGTCTAGCCCTCGTGAGTGGTCTTGCCTGCAGAAACGTGCTTCCAGGGTCTTCCCAGCGTCCCTGTGCCCCCATCCTGTCACCTTGCAGAGAGCAGAGAAGCTACTCAGCGGGTGCCCCACACCACGTGAGGACCAGGCTCCAAGCGTCAGAATGTGGAAGCCATGTTGAGTTTGCTGTCGACTGAGGGACGGGACGGACCACGGTGGTGGGGCACGGGCTGGACGCGCAGCAGTGAGGAGGGGCCCTGAAGACGGCCACTCCAGGTGCCACCTCACTGCAGTGTCACCTGCAGTTGACAGGCGGCCTGGCATGTCTGCAGAGCCCACTGGCTGTGGCAGGAAGGTCATCACCTCCCAGGTCCTGACAGAAAGCCGGCCCTGCCTTGGCGTGTGAAGAGGTGGGGGCAAGGTGTGGCGCTGCGCCAAGTTTCCTGCCCGCCAGCTCACGGGCTGCAGACAGGCCCATCCGCTCCAGTTTCCCCGGGACAGGCTCCTCGGCTGCCAGGGCCTTTTGCGTGGAGAAGCCTATCAGGTTGTGTTGTGAAGATGGAGCAGTAGTGGCGATGCCGTGGAGGAACTGCTGTGCACGCAGTTTCAGCTTTTAAAACTCAAACTATGGCCGTTTGACAGTGGAGCTGAGAAAGCTAAAGATCTCGGGTACTCCCTTAGGCCTGGAGTGTCGTGTGTCACGGGTCTCAGCCACCCATGAGCTCGCCTCTGCGATGGGCAGCCGGGGTCCGGCGGTCCTGCGCTCTCCCCCACTTCACGCCTTCCTCCATTCTCGCCCCTCGCCACCTCGGAGGTTCTTCTCAGTGTCCGGATTCAGGCTGTCAGTTTTCCTGTCTACCTGTCGGTGCAGCTGGCCTGGAAAGCACAACGCTGGTTCTCAGCCGTGGCAGAGAAAAGCCCCTCGGCCCTCGTGGCGCTGCCGCTCCCCTCTCAGAGTTCAGGACGGAACACGGGAAAACGCACCAGCATCAGGAAGACCAGGGCCACCGAGGCGAACGGCCGAGACCTAGAAACGGCCTTGGCGCGACGGCCGCGTCCCTTCCCACTCTGGCGCGCCCGGCTCACCTCGTCTCCATAGTAGTGTGTCTGTCTGTGGTACCCACAGACTGAGAAGGGACACCATTCCCACGCCAGCGTTGAGGGTGTCGCTGCCCCTCGTGTGGTGCTGGTTCTCTGGGGGTGTCTCTGTGACCCACCAGTGCAGGGCTGCAGCCCCCACGCCTTCGTCTGTCTGTCTTTTGCATTTGGCCGTTTGTAGGATCGTCAGAGGCTAGCAAGGTGCCCTACTAGATGAGAGTCCAGTCTAACGGGCAGGACCCACACAGCGTTCGGCATGTGTCCGCAGTGTCCGTCTGTCTAAAACCCAGACTCACCTGAGCACCTTGGTTTTAGCTTTGCTTTCCAAGCCCTGGCCATCCACCAGCCTGGCCCCAAAAGTCACTCAGCACATCAGTTCCTGTCCTCACCGTCACCTGGAGCGAGGACCTTTCCCCTCACTTTCTAAAGGGGGCGCCAGGAGCTGAGCCTGCCCGCCGGGGCTGTCCCACCACGTCTGCAACCGTGTCTCCCTGTACCTGAGCTTTGGCCTGGCGTCTGGCTCCCAGAGCTTGTAGCTGATGGACACTTAATAAAAGCATTGCTGAGGACGCCATGCGTGTGGACAGCAGTGGGCTCGGGTCTGGTCTCGGCCTCTCTGCTCCCTGCAGCCTGACGGGACGTAACGCAATTGCCCACAGTCAAACTGGTGCCCGCGGGCCCCCTCTCCCCCTCTCCCCCTCCCTGGGATGTCGGCCTCTGGGCCCATGGGGGTCCCTGAAGGGCAGCAGGAGGGTTGTCTCTGAGCCGGTGGGTGGTGGCT